TTAACCTTTGATTGATCCCGACTTGTGATGCACATTTTTGAAACACAAAATGAGGGTTAGATTTTGAGATATAGTGAGAAATCTGTTTAATGCAATTACAGGGTGAAAATCACCAAATCAAGTTATAAATCCATATTGTAATACCAACTGTTAGGACCAAAATTGTCCTAAATATCATAAAAGTTCTATTAAAGCATTTTGGGCCAAGTATGGAAGTGTGGAAGTCCATAATTCAGAGTTAGGGTAAAAGTTGAATATACCAAGTACTAACTCTTAAGAGTAGACTTCATAGATCTGCAAGATCTGAGTTCAGACTTCCACAAGTGACTAAGTGATAAAGTCTAAAGAGAGGCAAGTCTTATCTTCAGAGATCTGAAAAACAAGTCTTCAGACTTATCTTCAGAGATCTGAAGAAAAAGACTTCAGAGTTACAAGTATGAAGAGTCATTCTTCAGAGTTATACTTTAGAGTTACTCAAATACCCAATATCTTGAAAAATACTTCATGGGTAAAACTTGCATCATACAGAGCAAGACCAACTAGAGCTCCTCTGGTCCTTAGCCCCTCTGGTCTTACCAACTAGAGCAAAGCCAACCAAAAATAAGGCCAATTAGAAGCAAGGGCCAACCAGAAGCAAGGGAAACAAAAAGGCAAGGCCAACCAAAGGCCCTCTGGTCTTACCAACTAGAGCTCCTCTGGCCAACTAGAGCCTCTAGGTCAAGAATACTTAAAGAATTTGAGTTTCAATTACAACTAGAGACCCTCTAGTTAAACATGAAGATCAACTAGAGCCCTTCTGGTTCATTTTATCATGGATTGGAATATTTTTTCAAGGTTCAAATGAACAACCAAAAGTATGGCCATCTAGAGAGCAGGCCAACCAAAGCTCATTTGGTTATAAAACAATTAATTTCTTCACATCAATAGGATCGACAACCCAAGTGCTCACATCATACAAATGCGATAACTCAAGATCATCGCATCATAAGGATGCGATAACAAAACACCATGATCAAGAAGAGGATCATTTCCACAAATAGATTATGTCACCCTTATTCCAATATACACAACTCCTGATTATGTCACCCTTTTTACAAATTTACCCAGCTCCTGATTATACCACCCTTATTTCAAATTTACCCATCTCCTTGATATGCCAACCTTATTTCGACACATGATATAATCATGACAAAAACCACCATTTTGCCAATAATGGCATCAAAATAGTTTCACAACTGTAACTCATATAAGAACCATACGGCTCTATTCATAGTCTTACCATCATGCTCAAATAGCATCAGAAACAGTTTACCATCATCCCCATGTAATAACCATACGGTTCAAATACCAAATAAGGAAAGTTGATAATTTAAACTTACTTTATTTTCATGTAGATGAAGATGACTCAACACTGCTACAAGATTTCAAATAGAAATCACAGAATAAGCTTTTCTTCCACTTCCTTACATGTCTGTTTGTTTTTCACCCAAGAGAACACACACAGAGAGAAAAACTTTCTTATCCTTCTTATTTACTTTTTCCACATCCCAATAAGATAATAGACAATGATCTCATAATACTATTTTAAAATAATGAGCCGGTGGGAATTAGAACATTTTAAAGCACATTAACACATTAAACCCTTCCACTTACCATCTCCTTTCAAAACAACCCCAAATAGTATAACTAAACAACTTGGTTATCAGTTTGAATGAAAACTATCCAAACCTTGCTCATCTACCTTCAATAACATCCCAATTGATAATCTCTTACACACACTAAAACACATTTTTATGGAAAAAAACCCAACTTAATCAATCCTCACATATATCATGCTAACATGATTTCAAGTATTTATAACATGTAGCATGCATAACACTAATATCGAACCATAACATGCATTCCTTATATATAAGCACTATGCACTAAAACCAATCCCATCAATAAACATTGTAAACATATATTATATTGAAAATAGGCTATCAAATTATATAATTACTAGTTGTGTACTCGTGTCATGTGGCGGGAGTCGTGAATTTTAACGATTTTGAAGTTTCACTTGTTTTATCAGAGAAGATTTATCGATGATATAAGTTACACTTGGTCTTTACATATTAATACAATTTGAATAAATAAGAGTTATGGTTCCAATTACAGTCTATCGATGAAAAAAATTGTATGCCAGTTTAAAATCCAACATATTTAAACGACTCCACAAATGTGTTTGATTTACACCAAGAGCAAAGAATCAAGAGATCGAGAACGAGACCGAGAGTTCTAGAGCAATTGAATGAGAGATGAATGAGAGAACTTTTAATAACTTACAGTGAATATTACTTTGAATCTCACATTGGGGGATGGGGAGAATACATAGAAGTATGAGAGGGTGAAGACATGAGTGAAAGGTGTCAAAAGTTTCTTGGGAATATGAAGAAAAAAAATAATGTGCATTACTAACTTGTACTATATGTTATTTTAATTGTAGATTAAGAGATTTTAAGACTAAATGCATAAAGTAGCAGTATTTAATGCATTATGAGTTGTTTTTAAGACTTTTAAGACTTTGTGCATGAATGTATAGTACTTTGTTTATTAAAAAGTAATTTTAAGACGTTTGACAAATCTGATTTATAAGGTAATATTGATATACATCTCGATTTAAAATTATCATAAAGACTCATTTCATGGTATAGGCTTACCGACCATTGCTTCTGATCTAAAACATTGGTCACATTGATTAATCGTGTGCGTCTCTTTAGATGTATTGTATCAAATATGATTTAACCCTTTTTGTAAGTTGTCCAACATCTCCATAATGATCCTTCTTCTTAAAAAATTATAACAAATATATATTTTTTTAAATCATATATTTTTACAATAAATTAGTAACCTATATAATATAGGTAATACCAAAAAAAACCTCTAAAACCCTCAAAGTAAAAATATATAAATCTTAATATTTAACGGCAACCTTTATAGCAAAAACTCGGTTTTCAATCTACTCCTCTCCAGTTCGGTAACAATCCAAACAAGATCCTTTTTTTAATTAATAAATCAGATTTTGTTTCAAGTAAGGAAATATAAGCTTATATCGTTGGCTAAGAACAAATTAAAATTCAATTCTATTTAACAACCCGTTGGAATCAAACCAATTATAACCAGCACAACATTTTTTTTATTAACCAGGATATCCAACTTGTTATGCAAGCTGACTATTTAATCTCATGACGACCACCTGCTTTGCGGGTAGTCCGGAGTCACCACATTTGAACTTCCATGACCACAATGAGATTTTTTTTTCTCCTTGGATTTGAACATGAGATCTCCAGACACTTTTAACCTTTGGAGTCCAAGTTCAAACCAATTAAACACCACCGTTCTGGTTAACCACTACGACATTGATATCATTTGCCTCAAGTTATTTTTTGGCTTCCGTTCGATTCGATTGAATCCAGTTCAATTTTTTCTTATATTAGATATAAAATCTTTAAATAAATCTTTAAATAATATTATATGAAAAGTTTTAATAATAATTAATTATTAACCCTCAATAATTCAATGATGATTCTTATATTTATCCATTTGTTTATTGTTAATGTTTGGTAGACGCTAATCTCAAGGATCTTCCTAAATATTCCATCATCCCCTAATGCCTTCTAAACTTCTAATTTGGTCCTCTATCTTCTTCTTGTGTTTCATTTCTAACGTTTTTGATAACTTTATTACATTTTGAGACATATAATGATCGCCGTTTTTCCCTTAGATACTTAAGGGTGCGTTTGATACGCAGACAAGACAGGACAGGACATGACAAATGTTCAGCGTTTGATAAGACATGACAGGACGTGACAGAACTTATTAAAATGATCAATTTACCCCCAGTGAGCTGTTTAGTATTTTTTTCCACTAAATAATCAATATAAATGTTAACAAATACTATTTAAAAATACAAAAAAAATTCCAAAATCAATATTAATTAAAAGCTCACATTCATAAATCAAAAGATTTAAACATTATATTCACCAACACAAAAGTTGAAATGTTTACCAAAAGACCTAAACACAAAAGATCAAATGTTTACCAACCAACATCACATGTCTAACTTCTTTAAGGTGGTCCTCACAAATTTTAGCTTCAAAGTAGCATTTATGCTATTCCATAGGCGTAGTTGAATCGGGTTATCGGCAAAATACATGTTAATAGCAATAACCTAATCATCATCAAAACCCATGTTGGTTAACTCATCGGGCATAGTTTGTAAACCCGGAGTACCTATATAGCAATAACCTGATCATCATCAAAACCCGTGTCCAACCCGTGTTCTAGTTAGTTCTAGTTAGTCCCACATAAGGCCACACCAAACATAGGACAATTGTGTTATGTCATGTCTTGTCCTGTCCCACCCTGTCCAACGTACCAAACACACCCTAAACAATTAATATAAGGGTAAATACATACGATGACGAACGGATTTTTAATGGTGTTTTTTTTAACCTGGATATCTAACCCGCTATGCAAGCAGGCTAAACCTAGGGCGACCACTTGCTTTGCAGATAGTCCGGAGTCACCGTATTTGAACCTCTATGGCCATAAAGAGATTTTTATTCCTTCTTGGATTTGAACCTGTGACCTCGTGGTACTTTTAACCTTTGGAACCAAGTTCAAACCAATCAGGCACCACCCTTGTGGTTATAGTGTTTCTTTTTCGATATGGAGAAGAGGAATTTTTAATGGCGTTTCCTTGATGACAAATAAATAATTATTCTAAAAATAACTAAAAGACCGAAAAACAGCTCTGAAAATGGTTTAATTTGTGGTTGATCCAAATTTTTTTTAATTCAAAAAACAACGATACTAAAATACAAATAAAAAAATATATAAATAAAGGGTCTGTTTGGTAATATATAGAACTTAGAGGGAGTAATTGGAGATAGTAAAAGATTAGGGACTTAAATCAGCAATTAGAGAATAAAACGAGAATTGGGTTTGGGGAGACTTTCGTTCCCCCTATATTTGAGCCACATCCGCTTTGATGATTAAGATCACATTACTTCGAAGCAATAACTTGGTTAACCAATAAATCATCCTTCTCCTAGTGGCCTTTCGAATCTTTATCACCAGTTCTTGCACAAGGTATGGATTCTTTTTTGGTTTTATTTTTGTTAATTTTAATAGTGGATTTCGATTGCAATTCGGGTTTTTTTTTTGTATCTTTAGCTACTGTTTTAGCTTGAGATTCATGGGTTCTTATTGATGCTATGGATTATGCTTTATGTCTTCTTCTTGATGTTGTGATTTGTGAATTATGATCAAATATTTAGTCTTAAAGAAATAACCCAGATCAAGAATCAAAGCTAGGGTTCTTGTATTCCCTTTTTATGATTTCGTTATTTTATTTGTTGAATTACAATCTCTACCGGTGATTTAACTTTATTTTTTGGGGTTTATATGAAATATTTTCAAGAAATTTAGTCAACTGATTGTAGATTGATGTTCTTTTTTTATCAATTCTTTTGGTATTTTAGTTGATTAACCTTGTTTATGTTGTCTTGTTCAATTATACCATGTCACCTCATGAAACTGATTAACTGATATAATTTTTTTTTTGTTATAACTTCTGATCTTAATGTTGCCAATTTGGTCTCTGGTATTGATATGGACCAACAATATTCCATAAGCTTGTCCTTGCTTGGGATCCTTTATTAATTTTACGAATGGTCAACTAAACTTCTTACACCATATGTTGACTTAAATATTGTAATTCTAACATGACTCATAGGGTCTTAAACGCAACTATTTTGATGTTCAAATGTCATATATGTACTTTTTTGGACGTAAATGTTATCGTGTTTTTTCCCTATTATAGTTTCAAAGTGGCTTGAACTTTGAAGTTTAGTGCATAGGATTTTATGGATTTGAAGTTCATAAAAATAGTTTTAATCTCATCAGGGAATCGAATTCTTGGTTGGATCATCATTATATATCATAAATAAAATCGAATGATACAAATTTATTGATTTTTTGGATTTGTGTTGTTTATGTGGATTTCCTTGTGGATTGTTTATATCTCAAGTACTAATAATAATAAAATGAATGATAAATCTCTTTTTTGGTATTCGGTAAGGTCTTACCAAACAAGACTAGACAATTTTCTTGTGATTAGTACTAATATGTTTTGGTTCATATACCACTTGCCTACTCTTTGTCTTTTATATAACTAATGTAGTAGTTGAAGTTAATCTATTATCTACTAATTTTAATTCGCTTCACAGTTCAAATTAGCATTGCTGTTTGTGATTCACTTTACTGTGGGCTATGTTTTGTGTTGTATAACGTTGTTGTGACCTATGGCACTCGCTTCAGGAAGAATGGGTGGACGAATTGGGCTGATCTTTGTTTTCTTGTTGGTTGCTGGCTTGGCCTGTGATGCTCGAGAGTTGACCACTACCTTGAGAAACAAGGTGTCTGCAGTTTCAGGTATTCCCTTTTGGATACTTTTAGAAATTCATAATTTTTGCAGTGGATGGGACTTTTTCTTACCATGGTTGTTTCTTATTTTGATTATTTGCTCTTGTACCCCGCATCCAAATAGAAAAAAATGCAATGCTTGACTATTATTCATTGTACCATAAAAGTAAAATAAGTTTTAGGAATCATCTTTGACTAACCCGAAAGTAGGACCAGTGAGCAAAAAGTCATTGGAACATAAGTTATAATAATGATATAATCGACTTCAATAGTAGAGTGGTCAAAAAATGTTTTACTCAATAATATGGTGTCAACAAGTATTTCATCCATCAACTATCTAAGTAATGACAAATAAAGGAATCTTGTGTGCCAACTTATTGGAATTTCATCAAAAAGGAAATGTTGCATCTATTTTTGAAAGCATAATTATTATTCTTTAAGCTGTCATCGAACTAATATCTTTAAAGCGACTTGAACTCAAAAGGAACTTTATTGCTATGTTTTTGTGTTGCATTTAATCTTTTGTAACACTTCTGAATTGATGCCTTCCTTATCCTTGTAGTTTTGCGATCAAAGGCTGAGAAGAGATTTGGAGTTTTAGGAAACGTTAAAAATGACAACCTGTGCAGTTTGTGTGAAGAGTATGCTAGTGAAGCTCTCTTTTACCTTCAACAAAACAAGACCCAGGAGGAGATTATCTTCATCCTTCACGAGTCTTGCTCCAAGCTACGATCACTGGAGGGTCAGGTTTGTTTTTCAACTGTTTTCTTTCTTAAAATTGACATATATTCAAGCTTCATAAGCAAAGCTTGTCTAGAATCTTCCGGAACACGTTTTGACGTAGAATTCGAACAACAAATATTAGTGTTGAGTACCATGAGAATCTTGAAATTTTGTTTGCATACAGTATGGTAATAACCCACATTCATGGAAACAGTCTCTCTACTCTTCGTGGTAGATGTCAGGTCTGTGTACATCCCCACCCCATGGGGGTGAGCGACCCCACCTTTTGGATGGGACATACTGGTTTTGTTTGCTTTGCTTTGGTTTATGGTAATACCACACTTATATTTCCATAATTTGTCCAAAATCACTGCTATTCTTAGATGGGTTTCTGTGCGTTTTTAAGAGTATTATTTTTTGCAACGAAAACCAGATGGTTGAGATTTAGCCATCTATTGATCACGTTGGTTCTTCACAGTTGCATCATGTGTTTAACGTCTTTATGGGTCAATTAATCCGATTTTGATATGATTGTTTTTCTCGGGTTTTCATCTTTTGCAGTGCACCACTTTAGTAGATTACTATGCTCCTCTATTCTTCCTTGAACTCTCTACCATCAAACCTTCTGATTTCTGTGGGAAGGTTAATCTCTGCAATGAAGTCGTTGCTTATGCTCAAGAATTCTCCCAAAACAGCTGCGATGTTTGCCATTTGGCTGTTTCAGAAGCCGTTACGTTGTTGAAAAATCCTGATAATCAGGTATTGCTCTTCTATAACCAATTATAAGAAGCAAATACTCAATTTTTATATTGATTTGAGAAAAAACGGTAATATAAATAAAATATAATTAATATAATGTGAAAATTGACTGTTAGAAAATAAAGCAATATTAATAGTTATATATTTTGGCATAATTCTTTGTATATCTTTCTTTGTTTGGTGCTCATGCTTTTTGTTGGGTTATTTATCAGTTGGAAATCCTGGAGTTGCTCCTACAGCAATGCAAAACAGTGGAGAAGTACATACCAAAGGTTTGATCAAGTTCCTAACTTTTTATTCATATAAAACTGTTTATATTCTTTAATTGCTTTTTAAAGAATGATGAACAATACTCTGTCCTTTCTTGCAAATTCACCGTTCTTATGAAAACCATGAAAAAGAACACTAGGGGTCTGTTTGGTTTGACGGAATATTTTCGAGGGATTTGGCTTTTGTGGAAGGATTTGGAATGCAATTGAATTCCATTCTTTATAAATAATTTTGTAAAAACAAATCATAAAAAGTTATAAAAATAATTAACTTATCTTTAGCACCTGAAATTACAAAACAAGTGTTTTTAACATATTTTAAAACATTACTACAAACAAGTCCTATAAATTCCCGTGAAATGCCAACTACCTCCATAGGATTTCTAAATCCCATGTTTGTGGGACTTCAAATCCAAGCATTTCTTCAAACCAAACATTGGATTGGAATTGTTCCAAAGCCTATCAAATCCCGCAAACCAAACGGGGCCTAAGCTTTCCAAGAATGAATGATCCAGGATAAGAAGTACCAAGGATGAAGGTCTTCTTTCGTATTTAAATTTTCACAATTTGCTCGGAATTTTTTTATAGTACTTTTTACAAGAACGATGGTAACTTGGAACAAAAAACCAAGTATGATAAAACAAACGGTTTGACTTCTTGAATCATTGCATTTGGTTTCTCGTTGCAAACTAACTATTTTCTTCTATAAAATGTCAAGAAGACACTTTAATATACAAGAAATCGTATTTTCTGGACAATCTGTGAAAATAAACCAAACGGACCTGGTATATTGCATGTGGTGGTAGGGTCTGGGGAGGAGCCCATACCTTCGCTCCCAGGGTAAAGAAGTTGTTTATGTAAAGATCCTGTTGTTTTTGTGCGTTTGACACATGGGACTAGACACAACATAAACTTGTCACACCTTTGATGCGTCATTTAGATCGGGATGGGGCAGGACTGAGTGGGACAAAAATGCATTTAGATGGAACAAATATCAGGAGGATATCCAAGATTGGTAGATTACTCAACTACCCATGTCAAATTATAACACTTCTTTCACCTGCCTACCTCCCGTCCAGTTCGTCCCATCTGTGTACCAATTGTAGGGGACAATTTGTGAAAATGTAAGCAAAAGAGATCATTGTGCTAGGGTTGAAAATCTCATTCTAGGAAAATGTAGGGTTTTCTTCTTCATTTTCAGAAAAAAAAAATGAATGCTTAGTTGTGAGGAGAGGCCAAATGTGATGATTTGAGAAGCCGATTCTTGATTAGACCTTAAGCATTGTTGATTAATGAATGAAATCTTTCACTTTTCGACAGTGTAAAACGTTGGTATTCGAATATGCGCCTTTGATCCTCGCAAACGCTGAACAGTTCCTTGAGAAAGAAGACATTTGTGGAAAGCTTCATGCATGTGATTCTTATGCATCCATTGAAGAAGCTTCAAAAATTTCAGATAACTGAAAATGGCAGATATGGGGGATGATCTCTGCTTCTGCTTCTGCTTCAATGAATGGGTATTATTGTCATTTTCAACACAATGTGTTATACTCTTGTAAATTGATGCTGTAAACTTTACATTCCAACTGGACAATTACTTCATTGTCAACCTTGTAAGTAAGCATTGCTTTTTATTTGTGTGCTTATGATATAGTTAAAAAGACCACCTTGCCCATGGTTTTCTTTGATATCAAAAATATTACTTGTTTATTTATTATCATCATTTATTCATAACACTTAGAGGGTGTTTGGTTCATAGAATGGAATTTGATGGAATTGGAATCCATCAGAGAGATTTGATTTTGAAGGAATTAGAATGAAATTTGATGGAATTTGACTATGTGTTTAGTTGGTAGGAATTGGAATGAAATCTCTCAAAAGAATTGGAACAATCGTCCTTGTTTGGACTATCGCACCCACACCCTACCAACTACCATGCCGCTACTGTCATCGTCACGGCTATCACCCTGCCCTACCATCACAACCCACCCTCATCACTCCTACGCTACCCCTACTCCTTAGGTGGGGGTTGTTGGGGGCAGACAGGGTGGGGCGAGGCGGTGGGGGTGAGTGGTAGCTCTGACGACTATAGTGGTAGGATGGTGGTTAGTAGTGGGTTAGAGTAGGGTAAGGTTGACGACTACAGTGACAACTACATATTTTTTTCAATTTCTTCATAAAAGATATTTTATACGATTAAGAAACATAAAATATTTTGTTTATTATATCACGTTAATTGTTGTAATTTATTCACAATTATTTGGCAACTCAATTTAATAATATATTATAGTATTTGAACTTTTAAAACATAATTTCTTTTTTCATTAACAGAAAAATTATTTATCCTAACAAATAAATTTTAATATATAATTCTCATATTAACCGTATTTAAAATATTTTTGATAAAGAAATTAAAAGAAAATATGTGAATCATAGTTAATATTAGAGTGAATTACACTTTTGGTGTCTGTCGTTTGTCCAAAGACTAATTTGTCTCTTCTAACGGTTGCTAACTAAGAATGTTAACTCCAGGGACCTTGAGTGTTATGAATTGAATAGTTAGAGACCATCAATTTGTATAGTCCATTTTAGAGGCAAATTTATTTGAGCAAAACACTGGGACCACGAGTGTAATTCACTCTAAAATAAAAATAGTTTGATAGAAATGTTTTACAAAAAAACAAAACTCGTGTCTCGTCCCCTTCACCAGTCATGTAATCGGTCTTCCTGTAAAGTTGTCTGGGGGTTCAATTGTGACTTAATTGGCTGAATACGTTGTATAGCTTATTCAGTAAGCCATCTTGTTCGATTATAGCTTAATTAGGCAGTAAAGGGCTTATTCGGTCAGCCATGAGAGGGAAGTTGTTTACATTCAGCCTTGACCTTTTTTTACACATATACCTTTCACATTATACAAGTTCAGCTTCTAGATTCCCAAAAAATTTATGCAAGCTCCCAACCTTGGGGAAAAAAAACTCTCCATTGAAGCTCTTCCATTCCTATGCCTGCTCTTCTATATTGCTAAATGTACTCTTACTTAAAATTTTCCTCCTCATACATATCATTATCAAAACTTACTTTTTACATTCTCGAATGCATAATTTGACCTGATGTTAACATTAAAAGAGTACGTAGTACGTATTACAATCCCATTTACTATTTGCTAAAAGTCAAGACTCTGGGTCTTTTCGTCTATGTTTTGGGACGTCCGTGAAGTGACACCACGAACGTTTGGTGACCTCCGTTCCGAATACTTGACTTTTCAATTTCTTTGATCAAATGTTATCGTTGGCATTCCTATTCATGAAATCTCGACATGTTCTTAGTTTTTACTTTGGAGTACATAGTATTTTCATAATAAACATACACGTACACTCCTCACCTTTGGTAAAACTAAATCTTTGACCTCCGAAAAAGTTGGACTATACTCGTAATCCAAATACCGTTAGACCAATAACTCTTTAGTTATTCAGAGTTCTCTTCTTGGATACATTTAGACAAAATGCGTCAAAGCTTGATTTAATTCTTATCAAATAATGAAGAACTTTGTTTTTCACTAGAACGCAAAAAGAAATTTAAAACTTTCCCACTTCATACTCATTGTTACAAATGACCTGTTGATCTTTTAACATTGGACAACATGAATAGTCATTTACGAAAGGTTTATAAAAAGGTTACGGCCAAGTAGACGATATACATGTCATCCACGTCATCAAATTGCAAATTAAAATGGGTACAAACAAGAAAATGCACTAAATAAAAATTAAAAAACTTCATTGCAGTTTCATACATAACCAACCATAACACTCCCTACAGAACATCATCCAGGAAACTGCAAATGAGTAGCAGTCACAGAAGGCAAAACAGTTGAACATGAACACATAATCATAACAAACCTTAAAAAACCTAACACCACATGACCTAACATAACATCATCATTACATGGCTCTAAATATTCTTCACCACATGTTCTGTCAGGTGCGTTCGGTATGCATATAGAACTGGACAGGTTTGGACGCACAAGAGTAAGGTAGGTTGATGAAAGAATTCTGGAACGTTTTAGAATTATAATTTGACACGGGCGGTTTAGTAATTTACCAATCTTATTCCATTTTCCCGATTTTTGTAAAATGCATATTTGTCCCCCTAGGTCCAGTCCAGTCCTATCCTAGTCTAATATCGCACCAAATATGGGATAACAAGTTTTTGTACTGTCATACATCCAACGTACCAAACACACCCCTAAGAGATACTTGACACCAACCTAGAAGGAAGAAAGTAGCCTTACCAAAAAGGTTCGACACTTTCATAAGAACCAAGGTAAGCTATTAAACCACCGGCTCCTTGGCCTTGCAAGGGGTGAGAACCTCACGGCTTGAAATGGGTTCTTTGGTTAAAATGACCTTCCGCCAAGTTTTTCTCATAACCCATGACCTTCTGACAGGCTTGAGAATGTCATGCCTAACAGAAGAATGCTACTTCCATACACAAAAGATGTCTAGAAACTTCAGTAAGTCATGGATTTAAAAAAACACTTGTCAAGAAGTCAATTAGCTAAATAACCCGCTTGAACCCATGACCCTCCGGGTTGCTCCAAAGCTCACCCCTGACAAAGATATGGGAAACCGAATACGTAGAGTTAAGCAGCAAATGATTTACCTGTGCGTGACGCATGCCACTTGTATTGCTATAGAGCGAATGTAATTAAATCTGCCTAATAAAGAAGAGAGGAGGATACAATGCATCCAGTAGTATTCTAATCTTTCCTCCTAAAGAGGCTGATTTCCTCTTCAGAACAGAAAGAAATAAATCCCTCATACTCTGTCTTTTTACTTTTTTAAAATTCTTTTTCTCCATTTTCTTTTCTTTTACTCATATGACCAAAGTGACTGTACATCTGGGGTGGAGTATAGTCCACCAACAGGTCTTGTGGTTGATGCAGCACTTCCTTTGCCTTCAACTAAAGAAACTGGAACAGCCCTCTCTTTTCTGTTAATAAAACCAAAATCACAATTAAAACACTAATTCACTTAATAGATATTAAACACACACACTGCAACAGAAGATGAAATAACTGATGTCTATATGAAGGTGTAGTGACTGTATGCTGCATGAAAGACTGTTATAATGCACTTGAAATTAAAAGTGTATATCGCACATATACAAAAAACCATACATATAATTAGGGCTGGGGCTTTAAATTGGAGTTTAATCTAGGCCTTCTTGGCCATTGATCATGTGTTTTCCTGCCCTTGTTGATAAATCTTTTTTGGGGTTAACTGTGGGTGTCCGGGCCAGCTTGCACACACCTCAACTAAACATGGGTCTTGAAGATAAAGAGTCAAAATATCCCCAGTGGCCCTACGTCTCAAACTAGTGACCTATGGGGAGACGCCCCAAGGTCTTATCTGCCAGTTGAGCTGGTTCTCAAGGGTGTTATTGATAATTCATGTAGTGATAAGCTGTGTTTCTTCTACAAATCAAACTTCTTTCTATTCTTTATCTTAAAATATGGGTCAAACAGACCATGAAGTGGGGTTGCGCAGGTAATAGATTGATTCCTTGAAAAAACTATATTTAGGAAACTTATACGTAAATAATCATGAAAAGATTCTTAAACCGCTTTCTATAGTGTCTGTGCTAATAATCATGAAAATATTCTTAAACCACTTTCTAATGAAATGACTTCGAACTATCCCTTGTTAGTTGTGGGTTTTTACTTTTTAATTCATCCCACTTTCTCATTTGAGTAAATAAGGTACATTTCAGGGGAGACAGAGAGAAAGTATCCTCGGCTCCCTCATTCTTTTGATGAACCACAATGTTGAACATTATGTGTGGGCAGTAATAATGGTTCTATGCAACCATAACTATCGATATGCACCAAAACAGAGCTACAAAATGGACATCTTTTGAGACCTTCAGTAAATGGTTGAATATAATGAACACAAACTAATTTTGTTGCAAAAAAAGTTCCGTTATGGAGAATCAGATAAGCCACCAGCTTATTTCACACTCCGTAGGTGGTTGAATCATGGCAATTTAAGATTCATGTTTGTATGAGAGATACTACAACTTGAGCACCAAAACATGCAGCTTTTCATTGCTGTTCACGTCATTCTAACACATTCCGAAAGTAGTATTATGAAGTTGAACTTAATTCTAAAGGAATGACAGGAACAAAATTGAGGATCAGGCAACGAAATGAAGTGTTATTGTAGAGGATTGCAGTCATGGCACTTCCACTCCCATAAAAGCACATAGCAATGAAAAAGCTAAAGAATATGAGAAGCAGTTATAGCTGGATGCATTTTTCTATACTGTTTGATGTCATACTATTACCTCAAAACATTTCTCCTTTTTCATTACATAAATCATTTGACAGTGAAAACACAGTTATACAAAGTGTTGGATGTTATTGGTAAGACAAATAAGAGCAATAACACATAGTTTAGGTATGCAAGACATGTGAGTGTGACGCAACATTTCAACCTAAGATGGAAAAAATACTAATTCATGAAATAGGGATACCAAGGAACAACTGAACCAATTACGTGTAAGAGTGACCAACTTGGAGCTCCAAGAAGAACCTGCCTTAGGTACATAGCCTTGCAATAAGGTTGACTTGTTCAAAATTTTTGACAGACATGGGTATGCTTGCATGCAGAAATTGTTCCCTATTCTATTTATTCCCCAAAACATAGTAATGCCCTTAACAGAGTTATCGAATTTCCTTCCTGATGAATGCTGTGTTAGGTATAATGATCTAGAGAAAACTGAGGCCATTAAGAAGACCATCTGCACACTTGAAATCAATATTTCTTACAACTGTTTTTTGTTAATTAAACATTCTCCCATTTCTTTTTGGACATATGCTATGTGAATGCATGCATCCATCTCAAAGGTTGGCGTGCTAACTGAAGCAAAGGGTGAACAACGTGGTTGCGGCATGTGCAGATATCTCAATCATTCATGTACTTAAAGTATAATTCCACATGGTGCATTGTCGGCTACATCCGAATTAGGTATCTGTCCCATGATTTTAAGACTGATTATACATGCTTCTTAATATGTCACAAGGTGAACCACAGATGGCAAAAAAGGACGGGATATGAAGCAGGGGCCATCACCCCCTCCCCGCACATACCTCCACAGCACAGTTTATCACCCCACATCCACCCTACCTTGCTCAGTTGCCCTCCCTCGCTCTTCTCCTATCCCATATCAGCCTTGTTACCAATTACCTTACTCAAAATCATCCCAACCTTGACCCATAAAAACACATTTACACATATATTACACAATTTAAATTAGAATACATTCTGTAAATATATATATCACCCAGCATTACAAAATTAATGAGCTATTTTGTAAAATGATACATATGCAGGTCATGTACAAGGGTTTTAAGCTACACTTGAATCTGAATGGGGTTCAGAAAATCACCCTCATATCCACTCACCACTAGTTCTTCAATACTCATACTCGCCTCATATGAGAAATAGTGAACTGGATCACTACAAACCTACTCTATTGGTATCCCTAAGTTGCACCATACATGCTACAAGGTTCTTTAGATTTTAGTTTTCCAAGTACTGTTTGAGGTGTCAATAGCACATAAATGAAACTGCATATGTAAAAATTTGTGAATTGTTGCATATCATTCCTCCTGGGTACCTTGAAGATGAAAGTCTAACCAACTAACAAGTTCCTGAGTTGGTTTAAGAATAAAATTATTATATTTAATACATTACTAATTACAGGATCATATATGTAACCACTTCCTAACTATTTGCATGAATTAACTCCAAGCAATCGGAGTGTGCTGGTCAAAGACGTGTGTTATAGTGATGCATTATGGAATAAATTATCATATGACAATCCTTGAAAAGGCGTGTTTGATTAGATATCAAAAACCACATCAAAGTAAATGAAATAGGAGTAATGATGGTCAATTTCATATCGAAGTCAGCGATTTGTAATTTGTTCAGTTAGCTAGACAAATCATTCAAGTAAATTGTGATCCCAATGTTGTGCATCTTAAGACGGTTTTGCTATGCAATAGTAACAATAAATACACTTTTATAAACCATGTCATCCACCAACTAACAAGTTCTTTAAAACTATGCCGAACGAACACAGGACCTTCAGAGCACATGGTCACTTTTGATGGCATATGAGAGAAGAAAGTTTTATGAGATTTAGATCTTAAAACATGGCTTTTAGAATGGACATAGTCAGACAGGTTTCCAGGAATTTAGATCTTAGAACATGGCTTTTAGAATGAACATAGACTATGAGACTATCAATTTATTGAAGGTCTAATGGAGCAAATAGTTTACAAGAGAATAGATGACCAAATAGAAACCATGCCCTTGAGAGTTTGCTAGATAGTGACCACCAACAGACCAAGAGGGAGATGTGAAGAAGATTTTGCAAGGATGCCAAGTGATGCAACCAATTTACCACTCGAAAATAGATGTCATGCATAGGACTTGCCATCCTTCTTACATGTTTGATATAATATGTATGATCATTTAAGAAGTGGAGGAGTTATCTATATGATCACAAGACCATGAGGAAGAAGGATGTGGGGAAAAAACAGTTTTATTGAGTGCACCTGCACGGTTTGGCGGAATAAATACATTCGAAACATTGACATGTAAAGAATGGCATACAGACAAATTAATCTATTCTGAGCCCTTTCTTTATGGGCAGGGAAGTGAAGGCACTACTCAGCAAGTTGATTATTAATGTATCTTAAGCTCATAAAACCTTTGTTTCATACAAGTTGAGATGAGCCACTATGAAGACATCTTTTTATCACAAAAAATCTACGTAGACATGTCTACTTGAGTTGCGCTCCTCTCTCTCTTATCTAAAGTCAAGTCTAGTCTAGTCGTATCACAGTTATGTCCTTAATCACTACCTGCCCATGCTACATTTAACATACACTATATAACTTAGCACAACCCGTCTACGTACCACCCACAATTTGTGCATGTGCACATGCATTAGAAGTCATATAACTATAGATTAGATATGGCGAAACTTTTGTAAGTAATGTCCCCACTGTTTTCACCAGGCAGGTGACCAAATATCTTATCCGCCGTCATGTGCACATACATCCACTATTATCTATATATCTGGTTCACCCATCTTATTTTGCACACTCATAGCTGAAAGTAGGAACAGACCATAGGACATAGTCGGTTACTCGGTTTCACTTATGTGATTCAAAACTTTCCCTTCAACTTTTATAGAATTTTAGAGGTAGCACCACTTCATCCACCCTAACAACCTTGTTAATTGCTCCGTCCTTTCATAATACCAGCACCAAGTAACGATGAATATGCATATCTAGATCACGCTCTCTGGACATGCTTACAACAACACCAAAGCTTCTAGTTGCAATTTCAATAGAGCACTTTTTGTCCTTTATATAGAACATAATAAGATGGTACTCTATAGTTCAAGTATTCAATTATAACAATTCAAAATGCGCTATGCTGAAACCCTAAAAACACAACAAATAATCAAAAACTTAAAAGGTATTAGATGCAACTCTAATTTTAGGAGAGAAGAGTAAGGTTGTCTAATTACTATTCGCTATATTGTTCTAAGGAGATGAAACGCGTCAAGTTGCTGAAACAAACAACATTTTGCACATGGTGGGAGAAGGAAAACACATTCCAAGTTAACTTATCTAAAAGAACCCTTAGTTTATAACGTTACTTCAACCACAAACCCAAAATTATACAACATACTTTAGCAAAACTTTCTGGTTTTTCAATAAAAATACTTGCATCTGCTGATACAAAAAAGTGGCATGGGTAAGACACTTACTTGGCCCAAAAATTGCCTTGAGATAGCTGAAACGGATTGTTAGTTGCAGATCCATTGGGACTCCCATAAACTAATTCATTCCGAGTAGTATGCTCCTGAAGGTTCAGTGATAAATGATTGTCACGTCCCGACATTGACCCATATGAAGTCCTCGACAACCACGGATCATCATCAGTAACATGAACATAACGGCTATATGTTCTCCCATTCTGGCAAAGTTCCTGAGGAGACTGTGAGTTAGATGGGACTTGATCATCTTTCTTGAACAGGGAAGCCATAGTTTTCTGAGGTTGCAATTGCATTACTCCTTCCTTGTTTAATCCATTCATATCTGGAGGTAAAAGCCAACTTGACGGGTCACCTGCTAAACCAAGACTATCCTGGTAAAGAGGAGAACTGTCCCACATCTGCCATCCCTTTTCGTTTGCATTACCTTGATCTTCCATTGTTAAATTGTTCTTATCCTGAGGTCTAGGTGTACTAGGGAAAAAGGAAGAATTAGCATGCCTCTCATCCAAGATCCGCAATCGAGACATAGGAGACTCAATCGGTGATGGCCTACTCACTTCAGACGAGTCAGACATTTGCTTTATGGGATGTGGCTTCTGGAACCCTACATCAGGTACAAATCCAAGGTCTAACTGAAAATTATCAAGCGACTCTGAAACTGGCCCAATCAAAGATACAGGATCAGGAACATAACATGGATCTTCAAATACGTCCGATTCTTCGGGTAAAAATTTATCAGGAGCTTCTCCAACTCTAGGAAATATGGAATTGGATGACAACTGAAGGCCCGTGTTAGAATCTCCATAAACAAAATTTGGTAGAGTATAAGGCAATCCAAATGTAATGGGATTGTTGAACCCCTGAGTCGCCGGGTAACCAGATGACATTGGACTTTGAACCTCTTTTTGTGATTTTCCTTTTGGCCTACTTATGACATTTGTACCGGGGGAAGAAGGAACAGTAGATGTTCGAGTGAATAATTGTTGCCATGATTTTTTGGGGGCTGTATGAGGTTGGGACTCAACCTGTACCTGCATAAGTAAATATCAACTTAAATAAATAATTGAGTCAAAGAAATAAAAAGCACCAGAATGCTAAACTCGATAGCAAGTAGATGAAGAGGCAGAAAATCAATCCGATTGTGTTACTATCTTAGATTATTGACTAAAGTGGGATTTATCGTTAATGCTCACAATTACATTAACAGAAGGGTATAACAAAAATAGCGGTTACCTGAAAAGAAGATTGGCATTTGACCTTTACCAGATTTATATTTATTTTTAATTATTATATGTGTCTGATGAATAGACTTTTTATACCAACTCAGAGAAAATCAATCGCAAGAGAAAAAAACTTACAGAACGATTAATGTTCTTATCATCTGTAGAGGCGTTTGATTTCCCAGGTGCATGCTCAGGCTGAGAAAGATCTCTCTTATTGGCGGTATTTTGTACATGATCCAAAGTTGCAGTCGATTTGTGTTCTCTTGCAATACTGGTATTTGCAATTGTGCCTTTCCCAAAAAAGCCACCCCCAGTAAATGCTCTAGAAGATGATAAAAAGCTACCTTTCATGCGATCCAGATATCTCGTGCCAACACTTCCAATGTTATTATTGTGTGTACCGACAACCTTAAAATGGGCAGCATCAGTGCCATTTAATTTCAGACTCTCAGTCCCAACTCTGTGATGCTCACGGCGATCAGTTTCACATTTCCTGCTCCTTTCAATTTCCTTAACAGCTCTTTTTTCGAGTTCATCCACATCAGAGTTGCTTTTACTAGATCCCCTATCTTTTTCTTTCTTTCTTTCCTGCCGTTTCCTTTCAGCCTCTCTTTTGTTGTTTTTCTCCCGCGGAGAAACTTTACCCCGATCTTTCTCAGCCTCTGTTTTCTCATCTCTCAGCTTCCTACGTTCTTCGACCAACCTAGCAACCTCCTCCCTCTGCTTTCTTTCTTCTTCCTCCAATTGCTCCTTCTCTAATCTAGCCTGTCTTTTCTCTTCTGCTTTTCTGCGAGCTTTTTCTCCTCTACTTTCGTTACAATTTACTCCATTCTCACCCTTCTTAGCCAGACCCCTAATCTCTGCATCAGCTGAAGTGTCCTCATCAGCTGAACTAACCCTAAATACCTTTCTCCAAAGCCACATAATACCCAAGAAAATTGCTGCTAAACCTTTGCAAAGAAAAACGACAAGACGGGAATAAGACTTTTCAGCAAAGCAGTGATCATCACTCCCACTAGAAAAACCAGCACCATTCTTCCCCCGGAAACTAGGCTTTCCTGAAAAAGACCCACCAACCCAGTTACCGCTGTTCTCCAGCCAATCCTGGCCGCATATCCAACCATTATCCGACCATACCTTCCCATTCAATATTTTCCCACCTTTCCCAACCAAATCTTTCAATATACCAGAATTTGAGAGCCCTCCCAACCCAGGAGGTAGAGGCAAGTCCAAAACCGGCCTCTTAGATATATGCCCACAGTATGAACACATAAACCTGCCCCCACCTGGGTTCTGATCACGATATGGAGTCAAACAGTTTCTGCACCGCCTAGTTGCAGTCTTTCTGAGTTTCTGCATTTCGATAGCTTCAGACCTCTTCCTCTCCCTAAGTCGAGCATTTCTCTGGACCCGCCAGGCAGACAGCTGTGGCATCAATATTTCATACCAGAAGAGGGTAATCAAGAGCACAAACACGCAAGCCAGCCTTGGTGAGGTGATTTCAAAACGAAATGCAGGTGGCAAGAATTGTGACAAAAGCCACAGTGCAATTAGTGGAATTACCAACCACGGTAGCATGGTAGCAACCCTTCGCGACCACTTCTGAATCACACACAGTATACACATTATCCTTCACAAAACACCTTATATTTCCCCCTCTTAAACCACAAACCCAAATCGCAAAGGATTCCACGACACCAATCAAGATACAATCCCCCTTCCAAACCCTAACAACATAGCTGACGAAAAATGACCTAAATTTTCCATCAAAAGAACACGATAATGAATCAGATAAAATGCTGAATTCGAGCAACATCGGTTAAATTAGGGTTTTGGTAGCTTAGAAACCTAAACCATCATCAGAACAATAAAGAAGAAGAAAAGAATAATAAGAAGGAAAAAAAAACAATCGATTGATACGAGTTTGGACAAACAAAAAACTGACTTTGCAGATTGAGAGGTGGAGTCCATTACCGGAGAGAATTAACCGACGATTAAACTTCCGATGCCGGCGGATGAAACGTTGTCGTTGTACGGCTCTCTTTTTTCCCCTTCAGTTGTGACGGTGACGAAGATGATGAGTTTTTAATTACAATACACAAAATACAGACGTAAATTGGGAATGAAAACAAAAGGATAGAAGAGAGAGAAGAAACGGTTCAGTTGGACCGGATAATCGAACCGGGTTTCTTAGTCATACTGTTTTTTGATAATTCTTGACTTACCTTTTACTAAGGTCTCAAACCGGTTCCTTAAACTCTTTTATATAAACAACTTTGGATCGCTTAAATGGTTTAGGTATTATTTGGTATCTTATTTTTTTGGAGTATATATTTAAGGGTCGTTTATTTGCAGTTTAATTAAATTTATTGGCCTATCTGGTTTATTTGTACAGCTCATTTGGGTTATTTATTTACGGTTTATTTGTACAAAACATGGTTAGATAGAAATAATGTGTTGTTCTCATTCAGCCATAAAAATGACACTTTACCTTTCATTTAAAGCAACGTCTCCTTTCCATATGAGACACCTCATCATTGGCCTCTTTATTATTTTTTATTTTGATGTTCAAATAATTAATATTAAGAATTAAACCGGTCATTTATGTTATTCAGACTGTTGATCCAAATAAAAAAAGTAAACAACAAAACTCGTGTATATATAAGAGAGCTTATTGAAACGTTAATTAAAATAATGATTTGAGAGATTATTGTCATTTTTTTTATTCTAACTTTCACTAATATTAATTATTATTTATTAATATTAATTATAAATAAATGTTAATAAATTTTAAATATTATTGATA